ATCATGATTTGCCCCTATCCCCCTAAGCTTACAGTAGTGCCATGCTGATCCCGTAAGGAATATCATAAGGCAGAGGAAACTTTCCCAATGTAAAATCCAATAAGTCATTTGATCAGGGGCATTTTTCAAAATCAGCCTCTTTTTCATCGGCTTTCTATAAATCATATAGGCTGGCTTTGAATGTGAGTGAGTATCATTACACAGCAATTAAAGGGTCAGAGGAGAGCAAGGAGGAAAAACAGAGATCATTTTGGACTGAGGGGAAAAAAAGATGGGGGTAAAGGAGGGGAGGAAATGAAGGGGACAGTAAAAAAAAAAAAGTCTGTCAGGATGTAACTTTAAACCTACCTCATAATTTAAATTTTACTTCTGTACAATTGGTTTTTATGTAGTTTATTGGATTCGGCAAAACCATATGAATTAGATTTGGTTCTTTGTTTTTAGAGAAGTGGTGCTTTATCGAATGTTTTAGTGTAGTTTGCAGAAATTTTACTTAAGTTTTTAGCAGACAGATAAACAAACACTAGACACATTGATGAATACATGGTTCCTTTTTTCATTCACAAGCCAACAACTGCAGTCTATTACTTCAAAGTGTCGTATTTTATGGTTTTGCTGTAATATCTTTTTTTTATGTGTTTATTGACACTGAGTTTTATTCATATTTATGTAGAGTATTTGGATCATTATTAATGGGATCCTTTATTCATTTTTTAAAAAAAGATTTGTTTTATTAACAGAAGCTTTTACAAGATATTTATGGTGTATAGCAAGCATTTACAGTTATACTGAAAATAGTATTTTATATAGTTTCTTACAGACACAACATACAAGGAAGATGATTTTTTTATTTTTAACTCCAAAAGAAAACAAAGAAACAAAATATAACACACTTTTCCCCTCCCACCCTCCACCCTCCTTTCTCGTATGGTTCTCAATATCCTTTCATTTCTGTACACAACACATTCATCTCTGTATAATTCAACACACTGCTTCTATCAAGGTACATAAGTGAGGAAGTTATATAAGAAGAACCTGCAAAGGGCTAATTGGAAGCCGGTCCAGAAAGGCTCACTCCACCATCGACAGCTGGGTCCAGAGAGGGCAGAAAGTCTATGATTTTTTTCAAAGATTGCATGTTTTCCTCTAACATTATACAGAATCTTTTCGGGTGTGCAGTAAGATACAAACTCATTGAGCCGGTGTCTTACTGACGGGGAATTTTCGGATTTCTAGTTAACCAGGATACATTTCTTCACTGCAGTGCTCGCATGTAATATAAAGTATTTCTTATAATGATTTACATTAATAGTCCCCAAGAATCCATAGTTTTTGGTCTTGTTCAATTTGCATTCCTATTACCCTTAAAGTTATCACAGTGACACATTTCCAAAGTTCTTTTATCATTGGGCAACTCCATAGCATGCGTATAACATCCCCATCAGTCACTTTACATCTCTGACACCTAGAGGAAATGTTACTGTCAATTCTATGTAGCCTGTATGCAGTGTAATATGTCCTATGAAATATATTAAACTGAATTTGTCTATGTTTTGTGGAGGTTAGCACAGTCTGTGCCGGTTCCAATAGATGATGCCACTCTGCCTCCTCATAAATACACCCCAAGTCTTTTTCCCATTTCCCTTTTGTGACTGTTTTATCATAAGCCGATAACTTTCCTTTGATTATACTATATATAGAAGATATTATTCCTTTTGTTGATGTGCATGATTCATTACATGGGTGACTTTCAAGAGGAGTTTCTTTTGGGATGCCTGGGAATGTTTCTTTTGCTTTCTCTTTGGGATCATTTATACATTTGGAGCTAAACTTTGACCTTCAATTTCTTTCAAAGATTCTTGGTTTGACTATAGTGGAAATTTAGCCTGGGTGCCATTCCGAACTTAGTCCCGCCCACAACGTTTGAGGTCGGGAAGTTTTGTCTGGCATTGCTCAATAGTAGCGGGAGTATGCTCGCACAATATTTGGCGGGCCAATCAAATTGTCAGGGCGGGCTTTATACAATGATGGACAGATGATCAGCAGTAACGTAATCAACCACGTCACCAAAGCGCGCTTGGGCGACAACAACAATGGCTGCCGCTGGAGAGTTGAGGTGAGTAGATTCTGCTATTAGGTCTGTTCTAGAAGATATCGACAGCAAATTAATTTTAAAAGAGGAACAGAGAAACGCGATCAAGGCTCGTCTTCTTATTAAAGGCGTGCAACTGCACGCTTTGATTTTTGCTGACAACAACTATGCGTCGCTTAACATACGTCACGCACTCCGTTGCTCTTATTGGTTGTAGGTCTATCCAATTGAGTGCAGAGACATTTTTTTTCCTGGTTCGTTCGAAACACGCCCCATAATCACAGCTCTATGGAGCAGTATCAGACTCATATTCTGACTAGAATTGAGTAGGACTACGTCAGGCTAGTGGAAATTAGAGTTTTTATGCAAATAAATTCTGTTAAATGTGATCATAAAGTTGCATCATTGCCATCTTCCATCTATTGAACATAGATGGAGCATAGATTAACCCTAATGCTAACACTAACCTGTATGCACCTAAACGTGGAGCACTAAAGAACAGTGCTATTATTACTTTAAATCACATTATTTAACAAGCTGATGACTCCGTTCTGCAAGGAAAGTCTCAGAGAACAGGAAAGAGATGGAGAATGTTCCTTTTTACTTTACCCCTTAAAAATGAAATTAGATTTTTGCTTCGGTTCATCTCATTTTCATTGTAGATAATATTTATATTGCAAAGAACTTCCTGGACTGCAGTGAATTTTAGATATTTTAGGTTAAGCATTCAGCTTCTCTATGCTGTTGCCTGATGTAGCATAAAAAATGTTTTCAATACAAAGAGGTAGCTGAGAGTCAGGTCATGAATAAAAAAATACAACTGAGCCAAAGTCGCCTAAATTCCACTTTTCAATAAAATATCTTGTCCAGATGAAAATAATTAAGTGAATTTCATCTTAGAGGACGAATAAATGGTCTGTTTTGATTGCTTTTAGACCAAAGCAGAAAGGAAGTAAAACATTTTAAAGATTTGTTTATTTATTGAACATCATGCTCTCCTTTTCATTTTCACAAGTTCTCCAAATATCTTGCAGCCTGCTTTACAATCAAACTCCTTTACACTTTACTTTTCATTGGCTTCACCTGAAAATGACGAATGTCCATCTAACAAGTAGAATATGCAGCATGCGTGTAAATGAGGTCCTAAAAGGCTCATCCTTCAGTCTTGATCTGCTCCGCCAGGCAGGAGCATTCCTAATCTGGCTAATGAGGAAACTGGTGAGGAAAAGCAGTCAGTGAGTCACAGAGGGATGTGGGCCAAGCTTCCGGCTACTCATTAGTTTGGAGTCAGAGGTTCAGAAAACCATCAGTGACGCAGCCTGTGACAGAACAGGAAACGCATCATTACTGTTGTCGGAGCGACTAAAACAAGCAGCAGCCACGCGGACACAGACTGTTTCTGTCAGATGTGACTGAGCAGCTGCAGGATGAAGATCAGGGTTGTTATTGACAGATGAAACATCCTTTAAGATTCTTTATCACTCCAACTGATCTTGTATTTACTTACTGTACACCTGACCACCTGACCTCTTAAGAGACTTTTTTATGGGTTTAGAGAACCTTAAAATAATTTATAATCTTTCTAACACATGGTGGGAAACTTAGTTTCTTTCAGTATACCAGAACATGAAAGCTTTGATTCTGACTCCTGGTCATGATTTTCTTTCACTGTGTTTAACTTTGAGGTTCAAGTCTTTTTCTCCCATATAAACAACATTGTACAGTGGAAATTATTTTGGGGCCACAAAAAATGTTTAAATAAAATTCCTGAAACTATTTTACTGTAATTTACATCCATCCATCCATCCATAATCTGACCCGCTTGTCCCAAGTGGAATCCCGAGGGGTGCTGGTGCCTATCTCCAGCAATGGGCGAGAGGCAGGGTACACCGTGGACAGGTCGCCAGTCCATCGCAGGGGAACATAGAGACAAACAGACAAACCTAAGGAGAATTTATACAAGTAAATTAACCTAACAGTCATGTTTTTGGACTGTGGGAGGAAGCCAGAGTACCCGGAGAGAACCCACACATGCTCAGGGAGAACATGAAAACTCCATGCAGAAAGACCCCGGGCCGGAAATCGAACCCAGAACTCTCTTGCTGCAAGCTAGATGTCGTATATATCTATGAAGATAAGTTAAAGTGTCTAATTTTTGAGAAAAATAATAAATCTTTGATTCTTTTAAATTCATAATTTAAGCTTATCTCACTTTATTTATATTATATAATCCCTATATTTATTCACTGCTAACCTCAGCTCCTGAAAATCATTATCACCTTGTTGGGTCCTGAGTCCACCTGCCTGCATATCTGCACTTATTTCCCCCTGTCTGCTTAATGTTGTAAAGATATACATGCAATAATCCCCTGATATTATCTCTGCTTTGGCTTCCTGCAGATCGTCAGTGTTGGGAAACATGTGAAGGGATACCACTACATCATGGCCAATCTGGTGAGAGAGGCTATTCTTTGCTAGATCTCAGTTTAAGGGTTTTACCTTTATTTCTTTTGCCTGATAGGTTTAAGTCTACTGTGTGTGCTAATGTATAGTAAATCTAACATAGTGAATCTTTTTTGGTATTTAATGTCTTTTAATGTAACAGCGTTAAATAATCGTAAAATGTTATATTTCTGCTTTATTGTCCTTCCTGTGCAATGCTTGGTTATTCCTGGGAGTTTAAATACTTTCTCTTTATTTCTCTTTCAGGGTTTTAAGGACATCAACCTGGAGCGCTTCATGCATGGAGGAGCCAACGTGACAGGGTTCCAGCTGGTAGACTTCAGCAACCCCATGGTCATCAAACTGATGCAGCGCTGGAACAAACTGGATCAGAGAGAATACCCAGGCTCAGACGCCCCACCAAAGGTACAGATGAAATCTTGACCAGGGGGCTGCAGGACTGGTTTCCTCCTGCTGTCCCTGAGCTCGTAGCTCTGGCTTTACACATGTGGGCAAACTGTGCTGTCAAAGAGCAGGAAACTTTGCTCATTTCCTGCTGAAATGAGATGCAGTGGTGTGAAGCTGAAAACACTTGCTATGTCAGATGCAAATGTAGTCAGAGGTTCCCTCCACTAATCATGAAAATCAACGTGTTTTCAGTTTATGCCTTTTAAAGATGGAACTGAATAATATTTTACAGAGTGGAAAAGTTATTGAACCTATAACTTATTGAAGAAAGTTATATGGGAACAATTTTAAATTAATTAGGATATTCTTTAATGCACTTCTAATTTGTCTAATTTCTAGAAACATGCTAAAATATTCACATACACCCCAAAATATAAGAGCTTAGACGTCTCTTAGAAAGTTTCAACCTAAACTTCTATCAGTGAATTTATCTCCTGGAACTCATGTGGCTTTTAAGAACAGTCAATATATTTCCAACAGGGCAGAGTTTGAAGCTTTTAAGCTCTTGTCACACCATGACGATTTAGCTGGCGTATGCCTGACATCCCAGAATCACCTAAAACGCTGGCATACGCAGAACTTTCTATGTATTTTTTCAATTTTGGGCATATACAGAGTATTCATAATCCAGAACTTATGTATAATGACAGCCTTACTTATGCATAATGTACGGCTGAACTTACGGCAGCCTGAAGGGGGCAGCAATGCGCCCAGAGGTACCTGGTCTGCATAAAAAAACTTAGCTGCTGTTATCCGTCTGCCAAAAAAAAAAGGAAGAAATAAATAAAAAGAAAAAAGAAATAAAAAGAAAGGTTTGCAGTCGCAGCAGATTCATCGTCATTTCTGCTAGGAAGTTTGTTGGTCGTGGCAGTGGGCGTTAACGCAGTGAGGATACATCTCACTCACCTTCACGCTCACCCTACAGTTGGAACAGAGTCAAACTGATGAGATCTTGCTGATGTCGAAGGATAGCTAATATGGATTCCTGTCTCAGGCTTGCCGGATCCACCATCTCTTCTGGAACGTCTGAAGTCTGGAGGAGAAGTGACGGTTTCTTCCTATGAACCCCCTTTTATACTAAAATGCTGCCTATACCCCATCATACAGTAGCTTTAAGTGAGAAACAAGATCAGCAGTCGTCTTGAACACTTCGAATACGTAGATATTTGTTGGGGATACATTCTTGATAAGTTACTTATAAGATATGCACAAGTTATTCATAAGTTTTGGATAAGCTAGACAACAGGACTTATGAGTAACTTACACTTAACGTATATCAACAACCACATTACTCACCTGTAACGTATGGCCCACGTATGAGCAGACGCTGCCATACGTCAAGCAATTTTGAGCATGCCAGATTCTTAGTGCATCAGGTATATGCTGGCTAAATCGCCAAGGTGTGCCAAGCACTTCACTAATCTTAGCCTACGTTACTTTAAACTAATAAGCCTCAACATCCAGACATTTGCCCCAGTGCAAAATGGCCACACCCATTGTGGAGGGAAAAAAACAGTTTACATGTTAAAGTAACACTATAATGAAAAACATAGGACAAAGTAAATTTATTTCCAAAAAAACAAAAAAAAACATATATTGAATAATAGCATGTCATTTAGCCTTATGTTGCAGCACCTAAAAGCATTTTTTAAGAGCATCTATATCAGTTAAGAAGCTACATTGACTTAAGTTTAACCCTTAGCTTTTATGTTCTAAGCAAAGTGGGGGAAATTATTTTAGTAAAGCGACACGATGCTCGAATTCACCAAACCGACCCAAACCGTCACCTGTGGATGAAAAGAAATAGGTTTTCAACAATA